GCTGAAAGGCTGGAAAAAAAAAAAATCACATACATGAACCAATAAGAGGGACCAGAACACAACCATGCCGACAGCCTGTATGTTAGATGGACATATTGTTTCAATCCACAGTGCAAGCGGGTCCTGTCTCTTCCCCAACTGCTCCTGATCTTTCTTTGGCTGTTTACTATCTAGTAGAAGGAGGGACAAGCAGTGCCTGACAGCAGCCCTTGCCAGAGCCACATGAGGTAGTAAGAAGGCTCTTTGCAGAGGCCTTCCACAGCTAATCCAGACATCTGGAAGGACCACATCCACACTAGCTTTCAAGGCTCAAGCTTCAGCCATTTATTCTGTGCTGTGCCCGCAGAAGCGCAGGTTAGACTTTTCTGACAATGGCAATTGTGTATGCCTCCCATTCCCCCACCACATCCAATCCTATAAGTCTACAGCCTGAAGGGTTGCTGCTCATCTTCTCAAAAAAGGTAACTTCAAGCAAAGCCCAGGCCTGAGTGCTCCTGCCAAAAGGCACATGCTTTGCCAACCTAAGAATGCAAGAAGAGCGGTCAACAAAACAAGGTTTTGCAATCCTAACAGTTTCAAGTCCCTTACACAATGTATTGCTGAATAGAAGTTTCTACATGAAAATCTGAGCAGGGAACCAGGCACAGGAAACCTGCAGCTGAAGTCACAAGTTAACATAATCCTCCTGGGAAGATGGCATGTGGGAGTCAGCATTACCAGGCAGACTGGAACAAGAAAACTTCCCTCTGCAAACAGAAGTCTGCTGACAAAGTGAGGAGCCTGACCTGGCACAGCGGCAGTACTGAGTCTCTTCTGAGTTACAACAAACTTAAGCAGAGACAACCAACACATTCTCAGACTGGCCACTCAAGCAGACCTGCCCTTCTCCACAGCACTTACCGCACTTCTGCGTGCCAGCTTGGCCAGGCTCACTTCTTTCCCCCGCGGCAGGCTGGCAGTAAGCGTGCTCAGAATGGCCTTCCTCTGCTCTTCTGAAGGGGCTGTAATTGCCACCTCATGAAGAAAAGCTGTCTGTACATCTGCAGGGACATCCTGGGATCTGCATGTTGTGCCAATTACCAGGACAGGCTTGCTGCCCACACAGGAACAGGGGAGAAACAAGTGGTGTCTGTTACACAACAGGGAACTAGAAACAATAACTTTGTAACTACACCACTTTTCCACTGCCATCAGACCACCTCAGAACCCCACTGAAAACTGTGGCCATGTTCTGGACAGCAGTCACCTCTCCTATAAAAATGTCCTGCTCTATTATTTTAAATAGGCACAACTTACTTTGCAGGTAGGGTTTATTTCAGAGTGTAACGGTGACAAGTATCATTATTCTCCTCACCCAGGCTAAACCTCTAGCACCCTGTTCCAAAGCTTATGTTACCTCTTTCTCCCAAGCCATTGACACCCCTGCAGTGACACTCCATCCTTCCCACTCCATATCTCCCTCCCACCTGCTCCTGCACTATGCTCCACTGTTTCTACCTGCCAGGGCTTCAGCACTGTGTCCTGGCTCAGACCTTTCATATCTCCCAGGCCTGGCTTTGCCCCATACCACATATGCTATATTTTCTTCAGTATCTTATCTGAACCAAACCAAACAAATAAAATTTATTTGCTTAAGACTAAGTCCCATCATTCCCCAAGCCCTAGAGCCATTCCCCAGGGAGCTTTAAAGGCCCTTGGAAATAAACCAAGCAACTCTGGGAGATGCCTCCACTGGTTTCAAAGCCAAAGTGAATATTCTGTCAGTTAGTATTTAAATGTTTGCCATGATTGTTGCTCTGCAGACGCACAGACAGCATACAGAAGTGTCTTGGGCATCCAGGTAGAGTTCATACCTTAGTCCAGGGTCTCTGTCCAGGAGGAGATGCCTCAGAGTGGAGATCACTCTGGAGTCCTCTCCCACCCCATCTCGGTCTCTGCCCAGCAATTCAATGTCCTTCAGCAGGAGGATGCATGGGTGATAGAGCTCAGCTTGTGCAAAAGCAGACTGTAGCTTCACCTCTGTAGCTCCACTAGTGTCTCCACAGAGACTGACACAGTCCACCTGCAGAAGTCATGAAAAGACAGAACATGTAGCAGGCTGAGCTGCTGTAACGAGAAGAACCAAGTACAGACTTTCAAAGATTATTCTTCAAAATAAGAAGAGACTGGTACCCTCTCTCTACCTCTTTCTGATGAAAGAAGGCAGCCTGAAAGGATTGTAGAAAATTATCTTGATTGCTTTTACCATAATGT